GAGTCTTGGCTTATTTTTAAGAATATTGGTTAGCTTCCAAAAGGGCTTTGCACAATCTGGAAGAGAGCGGATCCTGTTAGCTTGGTAAGTCCTGGTTTCTGAGGTCCACCATCCTGGCTTGGATGGTTTTTGTTAGGCGATTACAGTGGGTCTTAAGGACCGGCAGACCAGAGCGTTGGTACTGCCTTCGGATGGTGTTACTTTGGTAATTCTATCAAGGTTCAGAGTATTGCTCACCTGTCTGGATACTGGCACGTGTTGTTCCTTGCCCGGGATATCACCTCCTCGATGGAAAGCAGACACCGGTCAACGTCTTCAGGCGTCTCCGGAAGGACACCGTAGTCTACAGTGGAGTCGACACAGTGTTGGAACTGATCCCAGCTGACACGATGGTAGTTGCGTCGGGAAGCTTGTAATCGGTTGACGGATGAGCCCCCTTCGGCCACCACCGGATAGTGGTCCGAACTCAGCTCCTGGCAGTGATGTGCTTGAACGCGTTCATACTTTGTTCAGAATCTATAAACCGAACCGAAAGATGTCTGGTGCACACCCTCCGTTCGTTTCTCGTGTTGGGAACGTAACCGAACTATGCGTTGAACGAGTGCAAACCAAGGGGGGGAGGTGGCTGTCAAATACGAACAATCTTCGCCTACCTCGCATAACTGGTTCCAAACGTAAACAAGCCATAAGAAACCTACAGGGTTTGTTTACGTTTGGAACCAGTTTCATACAAGATGATCAGTAGGCTGATTTGACAGCACATCCCCCCCCAGGTGCAAACGGACCGAGCGAATGGGCGAAACGATCACTTCGTGTGTACGTAGAAAACGCTTCGTGTAGCCAAAACTTACGAACGGTGCATGCAACTTTTCGAACAGGGTACGTAGATGTTAGATATTTTCGCAATCATTCTCATCTCCAGAGTCGACTCTAGTGCTGTGATTATTTATTGTGTCCTCTTCTATTTCTAATATTCGCCCTTATTCTCGTTTTCGTTCGAATCGTATTTTCCATACAAAACAAACAAATACGGTTCTATCGAAAATTTGAATAAGGACGATTGCCTGTACCGTCTTCATGAGGGAAACTGCCTTCGCGTGATTCGCCCCGTTATCTGTGGTGACAGAGTACAGTTTCTCAATTTCTAGACGAATCGTGACAAAAGTTTGAATACTTCGTCACGAATGTTTTCCGCAGTTTGAGCTACCTTCATATCAATTAAACCGAGAGTCATTACCACCACTGATCTTTTTTTTTTTCATGTACAGTGTGTTCGCACCTAGGATGATTTGGTTCTTGGAACCTTTTAGCTACCTCTCCTATTCTTCCGCGAATATTCTTCTGGGTAACGGGATTCGCCTTGAGAACTCCTTCGATTTTTGTCATAATGTCGTAAATCCCTGGTATTTCGACTAACAATGGAAGTTCACCTTCTGTCACCATTTTGATGCAGGAGGTCATGTAGAAGTTGTAGTCAATGTGCATACCAACTCTCGGCATATTTTTTTTCGCGCAGGCATGAATCCTCCGCTTCATCATCGGGGTCCAAACCACCCATCAAATTCTGAAATATTTTCCCGGTGCAGGTCTTTGATATGCCTTTTAAGATTGCTTTTTGATGTAGTTTTCAACATCCTGCTGCATAATTTACGTTTCGCTTTTGGCGTTCCTAAGCTTTCGAACTGGTTTAAAATCTTGCTGACTTCTTCCTCTGTCAATTTCTGTTTAGGCAAAGACGTATTCCTTCAACATCCTTATACATGTAATATTCACATCATGCTAAAATTGTTTTAGATCTTAAACAGTTCTATAAGTTTAAATTTTTTTGTGCAGCCTACATCAACGCCGTTCGAAAAGTTGCACGCACCGTTCATAAGTTTTGACAATGGAAAAACCTACACGAAGCGTTTTCTACGTAGACACGAAGCGTTCGTTTCTCCCATTTGCTCGGTCCGTTTGCACTCGTTCAACACATAGTTCGGTTACGTTCGCAACACGAGAACCGAATGGAGGGTGTGCAACTGTCATTTTTTGGTTCGGTTTATAGGTGCTGAACGAAGAGGTAGTGCATCACAACCGAACGCAGGGTGCTCGTTCGTTGCTCGCTTTCGTTCCAGGTGACATCACTGGCTCCTGGTGGGTCATAGGTTGCGAGATGTTGCTGACGAATATTTTGATGATGGAGTGCACGCAGGACCGACTCAGCCGGGTGGGAATGTCCGGCGTCAGGATGGTGTGGTGAGCCTTTTGCAGGTCGTCATTCAGGATGGTGCCGTTTTGATTCCGCCTTTGGTTGCCCCAAGCTTGATGTTTGGCGTTCTGGTCGCCAGCGATGATGAATTTTCTACGGTGTCGTGTTATCTTGACAATATCCCTCCGCAGGTCTGCCGCGAATCCATTCCTGGCGTTTGCTTGTTTTTGGACAGTAGGTCGCAATGATGGTGACGGGCCGACGGGTGTGGAGGCTTCCACTCCCAATGCTTCAACCATTTTCAGCTGGAAACTGGGTAGCAGCCGGCAGCAGATGTTGTTCCTGGTAGCAATGGCCACTCCACCACCTCGAGAGCTTGTCCGATCCAGCCTCACGATCTGGAATCCAGGAATAAATACGTTCATTTCCGGTTTCAGGTGAGTTTCGGTGATGTCGAAGTCAACGAACATCTTTAATTTTGGTCTTGAGCGAGCAAGCGTTCCAGTTTGCGATTTTGATGAGCTCACGGTCCATAACCGAGCATGAAGATAGCCACAGCTTGGAGCTGGTCGGATTTGTTCTTGATGGTGTTGGCAATGTCGTGCATTTTGAGTTCATTAGTTCTGGTGCGGTGAACCAAGAACCATCGTTGATTTCGGGCCGCGGTAGGGACGGTCCATTCTGACGCCAGCTGCGGCTGTGGAGCAGCAGTCGTCTGTTGACATGAATTGGCAGGGCTCCAGCAGTTTGAGCTTGAGCAGCAGCCAATCGTTGACTGAGTGGCAGTACTGGAATCGGTCGTCGTGGAACCGGTGGGTAGTTCTGATCATTCATTTCCGGCACCTTCTTGCGGCCGGGCTGGTTTCAAGTCAATGCATCCTTCCGGATCTCGATGTACTCGGCGCGCTTCGAGCAGGCCTTGCTTGTAGCTTTGTGAGAAGCACCGCAGTTGGCGCAAATGGGATCGGCTTCATCGAGTCTATCGCAGGCATCGGTTTTTTGTTGTTTGCCACACTTGATGCAGCGGCTGACCGTATGGCAATCCGTCATTCCATGCCCGAACAGCAGGCAGTTCGAGCTTTGGGTGATTCCACGGCTGACCGGCTTGTACCGCTTCCACTTCACCACTATGTTGCACAGGACGCGAAGACTCTAGAGGTCCATCAAAGTTGTTGAGTTCTTCTCAAGGTGAACCAGGTATAGCTGGTCACGGTACTTGATGGCCTTGTTGTGATTTTGGACCGGTTTCAGTCCATTAGCCAACAGCTCTTCCAAGAGGACGCCTGTGTCCATGTCGTATAGTCCTCGCAGAACACCCTTGAACGGCTTAACAGCCTCGATGTCGTGGGAGAAGTACTCTACCGCCTTGTAATATTTCAATGCCGGAACCATCAGTTTGTATCCTTCCGTGTACAGCTGGATGGTGCACCGGACGCCCTGCGTGATGTAGAAGTTTATTTTTCCCGCAGTCTGGGAGGGAAGCCCTTGACGTAGAAGGGCGGCATTATGTCCTTATTCGGCGGTCCTGTTGTTTCAGTCACCGGCTTTGCACCGTCTTTCAGAACGGAGAACCGATTGTTGTCAAGCAGCTTCTTCGCAGCTGTCGCACTATCACTGTTGTCTTCAGGCCTAGACCGTTTCCCGGGATTGGTGGCACTCGGTTTTTTACCCATGGCTGGGTCAGCGAGAGCGTCTCTATTCAACGCGAGAATAAACGGAACAACGCAATCGAAGAGAGCGAGAGAAAAACGTCGACTGTACTGCTCAACAGTCTGGCAGCGAATGTTGACGAAGAAAACGATTTGGCAAGCGTTTTTATTATCGCTGCTATTCTCCTCCCTTCCTTTTATTATTCAAATGGTGAGCGATCAACCGAGCATTGAGCTTGCTCATGTGAGCATGTGCAATGTGTCGTTTGTTCGATTCGTGCTCTATTGTTGCGTCCGTGTTTGGGATTTTTCGTTATATGTCTGAATTTTAATTTTTTTTAATGTGAACCTTAGTATAGAAATTAAAGACGTAGTCCTAAGTCAAAAATCATCCGTATCCTCTTGCACGAAAAAAAAAATCCTGTTTGCATCCTCAACACACGGGGCTGGTTTATAGACTTGCACCTTTCACCAAATCCTCCGCCCTTTCCCCAGACAAAAATCCTTCTTCACGCGAAACCACCAAGCCAACATGTCCGCCAAAAAACTCTCTGTGACTCTGAGACTCAGACACATGCCTCCAAACACACTTTTTTTTTACAGAGGTGCGAATGTATGTTGCATTATTTTCTTTCTTTTAATCACCATCCATTTTTAATACGTAATGGAGCCACCGCGCCATTGTCGTGACTTTTCCACAATATTTTTTTTTGCTATACTGGGAAACTGGTAAATACTGTTACTTTGATAAACCCCACAAAATGGGTATTTTTGCAATGGGGCTGTTGCATTTTCTCCCAAATCTATAATCTTAAACTTTACGTATGAAGTTACAAACACTTTGGTTGAATTAATCATTATTAATTAAGTATTTTGGACACGATAATGGCAGAATTTGCCAGGATTTGACGCTAACACGTGAGGATATTTTTATTCATATGTCTATTTCTTGTCAATAATACAATAGATCAAAACACCCAGAAAATCAACCTTACTATTTTCACTTTTGTTAGAATAATTATGAAATCAATATCGTCTTTCAGATTGTGGTCGTCATCTACAAAGTTTTTTTATTATTATATATTAGCGAGAGATTGTAAGCAATGAAATCACATAAAATGTTTGGTTCAAGTATCATGCCATAATTTTCCGACATTACTGTAATCTTTAATCTTCCGGTCATGTTAAAAAAAATCTTTTTATATTATTCTATCTTCACTCATACCTTTAGCAGTAGTGGCTAAGTTTTGAGCAGTCCGTTTTCAACACAGACAATATTGTCAATCCAAAGCCATAATTCCACCCTAATATCACTATCTCCCGGCTAATCTCGTTTAACAGTCATCGAAAGTAGACTTATTCCCGGCACATCGTCGTACTTAAGGTTCTTCGCATCCATTGACATCTGCTTCTGCTTTCTCCACAGCGAAAATGGTCTCACCGTGCAAAAATAGCACAACTCTACCAAACTTAACAAACTGACACCCATGCACAGACCCAAAAGACCACCACAATTGGCCAGAAAATCCGTCAATCCGTACAACTCGCTCCGTTTCGATGTCATAAACTGAGCTTCCTTGAAGTAGATCCCCAGACGTGCCACGTGCAATCTGAAATCAAGAACATTTCTTGCCAACCTTCATCTTCAACAATCGAATCAAAACCTACCCAGTCGTATTCTCCAACGGCACCTTGAGGGCTTGAATCCACTTAAGCCAATCGAAATCGGTTTGCGTGATCTCGGCATCGTATTGCATCGAGGTACACGCTGGCAGGCAGTTGCACTCCGCGCGAAAATGTTCCCTCTGATCGTGGTGCTTGACAACGTCCATCTCCAGCAGTTCATTCTCAGCTTCCACCAGGCATTTCATCCGGTTGGTTTCGCAAACCTTGGTCTCATTCGATCGGAGCATGGAAAACTTCACGCACCCACAGCGCTGCAAGGTGTAGTTGGTCAGACACTCCAGCTCGCAGTTGTCCTGGGTGTAGACTTGGAAGAACTGTAGGTATCGCTCGCTGTTGAAGAAGCACTGACGCCGGTCTGAAGTGTAACTGCGTAGGCCCGAGGTTGTAGTGACCATCTGTGGTTTCACTGCGATGTTCACTTCCTGATCCATGGGAACGTGGACGAATTTCTGCGAAACTTGTGGATAATCGGCTGGTGAATGTAGCAGGGCTTTGAATGCTTGGACCGGTCCACGGCAGAGATAGTCCATGTCTTCGTTGTTGGAGAGTAGCAACAGCGAAATGCCAGCTGAGTAGCCAGGTCCAAGGGTTCGATAAGGATACGAATTGAGAGACGCTTCCGAGGAGTATCCCTTTTCGAGAGTCCAATGAGAAGCTTTATGTGTGCCAGACAGGTAAGGATCTGTCGATTGAATGGATTCGGTGCGCAGTAGTTCTTCAGCAGATAGAAGGTTGAAACTGGTGCAGATTCCCTCTTCTGTCATGGTGTGAGTGAAGATGTCACGACAAAATTTCACTTCGCTGCGAATGACGCAATATTCCATCATTTCGTACATTGGTAGCGACATGTTGCGGACAAGACTGGCGTAGCTTAGATTGCTGATTTTATTCGGAAGGCTGTCTACCTCGCTGAGAAGAACCATGTAGTAAAATGTGGTTCGCTCGCAGAGCTGCATCATAGCCAGCAGGTTGTCCGTCCTGAAATCATAAATTCAGTTTGAACATTAACAGCACGTTTCAAATGAATGTCCCTTCATACCTGTTGAAATTCTCCTGCTCTTCAGGGTCCATGTTGGTAAAGTCGTTGAAGTCCTGGGAAAAGTTAAGCATTCCACTTTTAACCTTGGTCTGTGGACAGATCGTCACCGCCGGAAACGGAATCTGCCACACCGGTGTGGATTTCTCGTTGAAACTAACAATCACCGGAGTCTGATCCCACTTCTGGTAGGTTTTGTGAATCAACATCGCACAACTTCCCACCGACAGGACAAACACCACAACCCACCAGAACTTTTCGCACACCGAACGCTCCCGACAGCCAAAGTAGCGCACTCCATGCACCGAACTGTTGCTGCAGTACTCCAGAAACAAATCTTTCGCCCCATCGGAGGCCAGCTGCACTCGGGAACGTTCCATTTTTCTCGACGTCGAAATCGCTACTGCCATTCGAAAGCTTTTCACGATTGTGGAATTAGAATTTCCGTCGCACCTTGGCGCTTCGCCGTAGGCACGTTCCTATGAATATGCAACAGGTGCGTATCCGTTGCCTGTTGATAGCCTCACACGGGAATGGCGTGAAACACGAACTTCCGGGTCCCTGGAGGGAAAGTTTTCCGTGTTTCCCCACAAGGAATGCGGTCGCACTGTCGAGAAGAAGGTCAGTTTCGTATGTTGGATGGAGAGCTATGCAAATGGCACAGTGTTTCCAATTAAAAGTACATTTCCACATAGGAGTCGTTTTTGCTTGATTTATTTACAACCTAGAGAACGCTGGAACAAAGAGCTTCTTATGGGAATTGTGTGAAAGATTCTGTGATAAATGCTTGATTCGTTTGTTAACAGTCATAGAAAGTAATCATCAGTTTGCAAACATACCGCAGTTCTCACGCACTTGCTCGGCTCTGACTCGTGACATCATGAGTGACGACATGCAGTTACAAAGTAGCTGTGGAATTGTTTTCCTAGTTTTTTCCAGGCTTAGGATTTTCACGATGTTCTCACAAGGCTGCAGAAGTTCCCCTTGACATTATTACGATGTCCTATAATTATTTTATGCTGTGTTCTTTTTTTAGAGATAGAACATGTTAGAAGTGAACCGTTACGAGCGAAAGTGGCAATTTTAATCAATTTTCATGTTCTTTAATAAACGGCATCAGAATGCAAGGTTCGACTTGAAAAAAAGTAATTTGGCATTTTAAACACATGTTATGAACAATTACATTGTTGGTAGGAGAACTGCGGGTAAGCCCGACCCCTTAAGGGGTTAGGCCCAGGGATGTAAACCGTTGACGTTTTTTAGTACACTCGCTTCGTTGTCGTGCGCGAAAGTCTGTTTGTATTCGTACTCGCATGCTCTACCGTCGCCTCTCTTATACAACACAAACGGTAAAACAACATTCGAGCAAAAAGAAAATTTTCAAATAACTATCATATCTTCATTCCTTTATTTAACGTCGGTCTCTGTTCCGCAATTTAGTGACAATCACCGACGGACATCGATTGCCATCCGTTGACGGCAATCGAATGTGCAGGAAGGCAGCTTCCACACCTGCGAAGGATATCGCACCCATTCAAACACACATGGGTCGGGCCCGAAGGAAGACGCGACCAGAGATTTTTATGCCTCAGGTGGCACCAAGGAGGTGGCACCTCTATCTCTACTAATAACAAGTAGTCGTAGCGAACATAGGCGCGGGCCCACGCTCTGGCTTGGATTGATATGTGATCACGTTTTTATGCTGGCTACGAAAAGAAGGCGGCGTGTCAGGCTCTTGGAAATAACTGTCATATGACATGTGTGATTTCGTTATGAAACCATTTGAAATCTTTATTAAAAGTACATTAAAAGCCATTTGACTTCAATACTTGTGCCATTTGCCTTTGACGCTTGCTAAATTCATTGTTCAAAAATTAATCTACCAAAAATCCTCATCAATTTCTTCGTCATTAAAAAATGATCGAAACTCATATTGTATAAAATTTTAGGAGACAGATAAAATTTAATGTGAAATGTGCTTCGGAAGATCTCAAAAAATATGTCCGCCTTTGGAAAACGTTGATTTGACTAATTATTTTTAATTTAGGAAACCAAATATAGTTATTTGTTATGTTAATCATTGCTCCCAGCCGAGACAATTTGATGATTTTTGTAATCTCTATTACTGCTTATTGATGAATTGATGAGAATAAAGTTGTTTTAAAGGAAAAACACGAAGATTGTGAAAACAAATGGAGTAATAACAATTGCCATTGCCAGCATAAACATTAATTTTCCACACAAAAAAAAATCTATATTTTAAATATCGCGTACAGTCTCCCTTCATTTATTTTTGAGCTAAAGTTGGCATAAACAACAAAATCGTTTGCAAGCTTGCATACAATATTGCTAATTAACGCGAAATCAAGCGTTAATTTGATGTGCGCTATATTTCACAAAAAATTAAATAAATTTTTCAAACGGTGCATTGTGAAAAAGCTGTTTTGCTTTCATAAAATCACTAACGAACACAAAACATTTTAATTCGGCTTTTATGAAGATAATTGGCAGATTGAATTGATTTTCTCTGAAACCAGCTTCCTATTCCCAACCGGTGGAATAAAATGATTTTAAATTGGCTCACTACTTGACTAGCCTATTGGCCCCAAGCAAATCGATTAACGTACCCCATTCTAGTCGACATTCTAGTACTACACTATGTTTGTTTTGATTTGCTATGAAAGTTTGACAGATAAAATGATGGGTTCGTGGATTTTCCTATGTTTCGAGGGGTGTATCGATTAGCTTGGGACCGAAGAGAGTACCAGAGCTGAGCCAAAATATTGAGCACGTTTCTTCGGGACCTTCTATTCTTAGAGTTGCCTCTAGGGTATTCCGTTTAGTTTTATGACGGTATTCATGGTGGGAAAGTTGCCTGGAAAAAGTTAAACATCAAAATTTGTTTATCTTTCGACAGTTTTGTTGTGCGATCAAACATTCTTGATAAGGGCAATTCCAAAAACTATTGGAAGTAGTTAATCAGTAACAGGTGGAAGCTAAATCGTTCTCGAAAAGTTTTCCTTCTTCCGGATGGTGCGATGATGTTTATGTGTGCTTGCTTGGAATTTTTGGAACAGTTAACCCTTTCGTCGAATGAAATCGTTGCTATGGTTCGCAAGGCAGCCAATTTCCAGATGACGGACAGCTTCTTCTCAATCGGCTGCTCTGTTGTTGTTGACCGGTTTTGTCGGAGCTGAGGGGCCTCCCAGGTAGTTCTGTAATTGAATTCCTTTTCTCTTCCGTCGACAGCATTGCTAAAATTATTACTGGACTATCCTTGTGATTCTGCATTTGAAAGGCCCACTCGATTATGTTTTTCTCTGTCCCTAGGCAGATCCATCTTTTTAGTTTTGTTTGTAAACAGTGGAAGGTTTTGTGATACACTTCATTGACACCAAAACGCATCAATATATGCTTTTTGATCCCGTTTGAACCAGAACGGTTTTATAATTGCTATTATTATGATAAAACACCTCAATGGAGTATTTGGTCGTGACATTAATGAAATAAATGCCGAACAGGTTTATGATTGATTTACTGAACAGTTTTATAAAGAGATAGAGTGCTGCATTAAATTCATTTTTAAAACTAGACTCATTCTGATTTTCTCGTTAGACTTTAAAGGGTTTTTAAAACAGCATAAAGCTGAACTACTAATGAAACATGTTTTGCACTATGAAATACTGTATTTATACTAAAAATATTGCTTATTGCCGTTATTAAACCACAATAAATCAGAGTGAAAACCAAAGGACTGTTAAATTGTTACTTGGGAAAATTAAAACGTTAATTTCGCTGTATTTTCTTTCCAAAACACTTCACTGAATGTATTTAAACGATTCCTTCGTCAGCTTCAATTTGATTACATTTTTACGACTGAGCAAACCTGTTAGGCCAGGTTTTTCTTCAAACGAGATATACGCACTACAAAATACGGCTGATTTCAAGTTGCCGATAATAGAACAACTGGTTAACACGCAGTTAAAATGGAAAGGTTGTCGAAGTAAAAGAGGACAGAAGATCAAGCAGCAGGTAAATGTAAACAAACAAAGACGTCATATGTGTGCCTGACGCTTAGAAAAATGTAAATAGAAGCGCGCACGCTGCTCAGATTGACGAGAATACGTAAATTCCCCTATCTGAGTTTTATCTTTATCTCTAAAAGTTTTTTATGTAATTAACAATTATATTTGATATTTTTGCTTGAAAATCAAACCACTTCTTTCAAACGTAAATGAATATCACATGTTTCACTCTTACTGCTAATTTAAAAGATATAACGCTTTAAGCGCTTTATATCTATGGATCGAACATTAAGGACGTGATTTTGATGCATGTTTTCAATTATGGCCTACGAACTTTTTTTGATAACTTTGTTTTGGTATTGGTGAAACCATTCGCGTTGACGACGACTCTGCTGCTGTTCACTTCTATGGGAAAACCCCATAAGCAAATGCCGAGTTTCGTGAAACATATCGGATCGAGCATGAGCATGATTGATCGCCCGTAGATGCAACTCCGTTTTTGCCAGATCAGCTGTAATTACACAGAGAACCAATAGACGTTGCTTGGGACTAGCATTCATTCTCAATCAGTGTTCGGAAAATCACTCTCAAATCTCATTCATTGAGTCTCCCTGCGAGAATAAACTCGCGTGCGAATGTGGCAAGCAAAATTCATGCTTGAAATTTTCATGCATATTCACGCACTCACACTCACAACGCCGAAAAATCATTCCAGCTTTAAACTCATAAAAACCACTCAAACCTCAATTGATAGCATGCTTTTGCATGTTATATTAGTTTTCCAACCACTCATGCACAACCAAGGGTAACAAAAAATAAAATCACCGACGTATAAAGAAATGAAATTGTGAACCTGAAAACTCAGCGGTGATTTTTGCGACGTTGAATTTTGGCAGGCAAAACTCATAGGCGCATAAACTCATGCATGAGTTTTGAGTTTTTGAATTTTTCCGAACACCGGAACTGGTTATCTAAAATTAGGCAATACCAGCGCCGGCCACGCCCGAATGCTGGTCAAGAAAGGACTGGATAGGAATATGTTGGCGTAATACTTGCTTTAATAAAATTATAAAAATCCTTTGCACTTCCACGAGACATCATTGGGATGTTCGATAAAAGGGTTGGGATTGCAGAAGGATTCGTCTTGGTAAAATATATGCTGAATTGATGTCCTAACGATTTAATAGCGCGATGGAGCTTGGGTTTGAAACCACGATCTTCTGCTCAGTAAGCAAAATCGATCACAATTAGGCCACCGTGCTCCTTATAACACAAAATAATTACGCTCAAGTTTCCGTTCAATTTGTTGTTATTATTTTTAGATCCCGGCGACGACCTTACCGACGATGACAACA